ACTAATTTTAGAAAAAAACACAGTAGAGAAGCATTTGAAATGAGAGCTTTTACATAATAACATGTCTAACATAAAATTTGCTATACACACAATTATTTACCAAACAACTATTTACAAATAGTTAGAAAAGCTCATTGGAGGAGCATTTGAAATGAGAGCTTTTACAGAATAACAAGTCTTAACATTAAATTTCTAACATAATCATACACACAATTAGTTACCAAACAATTTTTCCAAACCGTTAATACAATCCGCTAGTTAAATCAGCAATTACAAATTCGCTATCAGTTGTACAATTTGTTATCCTCTATATGCTATTAATCATACAATAACAATATACGTAATCCAATCCATTGCTAAATCCTGATTTTTCTCTCATATTCAAGCTCGTCGTGGAGCAACCAGAGTGACACGATCCCTAATAACATCAATTTAAGAATGTTTGAAAAAGAGAGAATTTTCATAATATATAATATTTTCGCAATAACTATACAAATTGTTATTTACAAACTGCTAGTCAAATTAGATATTACAATCCGCTATCAGCTATGTGTTGATACACTATTATCGGTTATCCGTCATTAGCTAATCTCCAAACAATGTCTACATATTTTCAAGTACGTGGACTTCCTTCCCATGCCTCTCAGCCTTTCATTGTTGCAAACTATAAAGCTGGTGAATGTGGTTAGTAGTTACTGCTTTCCTTCAGAAGTCCAAAGATTTTCAATGGAAGCGGAAATAGTCAAGTAAATGTGAGATACAAACAATCACATGAATGTAATTTTCATGGATTTTTTTTTTCTATCATATACGACATTAAAATATAATGTTGAGAATTCTTCAATCAATTTTTCAATTTTTCTGGTACTTAATTGTAAATGAGCAGAGCTGGCAACAAGAGTGGGTACACTATACTAAAACAGTAAAATTTGAGAAACACTGAGCATAACACTAGGGAGTTTATGAATCATCATCAAGTTACATACCCAATATTTTCATCTTCACACAGTTGCACGAAACATAAGCAAGTCGAAATAGTTACTACAGAACATGAAGAAAGAATTTGAGGAACATTTGGTTGTCGAATGCAGACATCAATACTTACTACATAATAATAAGATAATAATAAGACCTCAGATCAATCACTCAAAATCCGGAAGAAAGGCAAGCTGACATGCGTTTGATCCTCGTTCAAACAATGAAATTCTCTTAAGAGCACGGAATTTCGTTTCCAGATCAATGGATTCATAAGTTAGAGTAAATGTTTCAATCCTCTCCAATACTCGAGAATTCCTCAAAAGATATCTCACCATGTCAAATTCATGTTCTTTGAACCGCATCTGACTTAATTGTTATAATTCTTAGACATGATACCAGGCATTTAGGCACTTGTTCGGGCTCCGAACATAAATCTCCCTCTTGGAAATCAACCTGCTAACATTAACATTAAAAGGAGCATAACAAAATGAGTAAAACAAAAGGAGCTAGTGTTGTAAGAAAAACGAGAACGGCTAAAGACATATTCAATTGCATCAACGATAAACTCCACTTACAGTAAGGACTTGAAGATTATCAGCAACTTCAAGGAACTTTACAAGTAAACTCTATTCGAAGTCCAATCGGAGTTCAAGTTTGGTTAAATTATCCAACTTTACAGTTGAACAAGCAACTCCTCTATGAATAAACTGAAAATAAAACCAGAATACGCATATATATAACAACAAAGCAGAAAACTAATTGACAGGATCCCGAAGAGATTGAAGAATCAAAACATACCTTATACACTCAAAGTCATAGCCATGCACTTGGAGATACCTAAGGGCCGGGGCATTTATTATCATCCTATATTCAGGTTGCCATGGACAAAACAAATCGACAAGATTGAGCTTAAGCGTCTTTATCGTGGGTGATGTAATATTTTTGCAGCCCACATAATCATTTTCCTCCATGAACCTGAATACCATATTCAACTCCTCGAGTGACGGACAGCCGGAAAGAAAGCGAGGGAAGCGCATCATCACTCTCACACACAACATTATAAACATAAAACTTCTTGAGGCCAGGCAGAGAGACATTGTCCACATCAGAGAGTGGGGCTCTATTGTTATCAAGTTTCAAGTCGACAATGGTTTTGCAGTTGAAGAGGGATTGAGGGATTGTATCAAGGTCAAGTTGAAGATAAAGATTCCGGATACTACGGTCTTTGGCGATCTTAATCCATGTCTCCAGTTGATACTCGTCGCAGTAGACGTTATAGAGTGTTAAAGAATCAGTTCTTTTTGCCTTGTGCCGCAATATAACCCCGTGGATGGTGTTCGAGGCTTGTGTTCCTTCTTTCATGAAATCGTCCCAGGATTGAGTTTCTTCTTCCCCAAAATCTTCTTTCCTGAAATCGTTTCCACTGAATTCCAAACAGGGTACATGGGCCCATAAAAACCTCCATCTCTTTCCGAGAACACTGGTCGCCACTGAGCGCTTAGTCGGGAGGAAAGAGAGAATGTGGCATATGATGCCGTCCGGATAGCTGCTGTGATTATCGATTGAGGCCATGTTTTGCTCTCTATCCCAAATTCTGACAAAGAGCACCTGATTTTCACAACTTCAAACCAAGGCAGTAGCATACAGAGGGTACCAGGATTCAGATATTGTCTTGTCTGATGGGTAGTTTAATTCTAAAAGTCTAATGTGAAGAAGAGGAAGATGATGATGAGGCAGAATATGAAAAGGCTGATAAATACACTTCAGAACAGTAAAGAATTTATTTACGCATTAATGTAGCTAAGAAGTCGAAAGGGCAAAAGAGAAACCTGAAACTTCCAAAACCAAGGAGACTCTTGCGATTCCCGTTGCCAGATGCGCCACATGGAGTGAAAATAGAGTGTTAGGCTCCCTCCCTTCATGGGTTCCGACGAGACCTTGAGATTACCGAAACCTGTCAGTGACCCAAAACGGAACAAATTCCGGCGAGAACGCCGGCGGCCATGGAGGCCTCAGTTGGGAGAAAAGGGTCGCTTGGCTATATATATGTCTTTCGGGAGAATGGGGCAAATGATTTATTAGTGGACCACGCCTTTGTGTCGGTCAAAAAGTAGCATGATCAATTATGTACTTCAGTAAATAAATTCAAAAAATTTTATTGTATATTTACGAAGTTTATTATTTTTAATTGTAAATATGTTAAATGGAATAATTATATATTTAAAAAGTTTCTATTTTTGACTGAAAATATACTAAACTCTCACTGTAATGATTGAAAATATACCAACTCTCACTGGAATGATTTATTTGTCATTTATTTTTGTCACCTTTTTTCCAAAAATTATTTTATAGCTTATATTAGTCATAATGATTTATGTATGGGTTAATTTTGAATGTCGTATTTTTATTAAAAAAATATCTGGTACACATGTAAAAAGACATTTTTTTCTCAGGGTTGTTTATATTGGTAATGAAATTTATTTAGTTTCAATTGTTTAGTTTGAACTCGTTAGGGCGAACCGGTAGGTTAGACGTGTTGGTATGCCAACTTTATTTTATTAATATAAATAAGATACAAGGTTTATGTTATTTTTTTTGTAAAATATATATTTTATTTTATTTTGAATATTCAATTATTTATTTTATTTTGACTTTTTTGTCATGTCAAGTTTTGTTATTTTGCTATTATTTTAAAGAAAAAATAAAATAGAATTGCTGATTATTTAAATATAAAGAGAATGATTATTAGGAAAGTGATTTCAAAATATTTTTATCTTGCCATATACATTGAAGCTTAAACACGTGCCATTAATATGTAAACTCAAGACAATTAGTTGAGAATTTTTCAACCAATTTCTCTGGTGGTTGCTGGTAAATGAGCAGTTGCTACTGCAATGCAACAATGGTGGGTACAAATGCCACTAAAACAGTAAAACTTGAGCAACACTGAACATAACACTTGGGAGTTCCTATTAGTACAGAACTTGAGGAACATTACATCTCACAATTGCACGCAACATAAGCAAGTCGAAATAGTTACTACAGAAGTTGAGGAACTTTACATCAGTACTTACTACATACTAAATCTCAAGCCAATCACTCAACAAAATCAAACAATGAAATTCGAGGAACATTCAGTCGATGAATAAGACCTCAGTCCAATCACTCAACAGTCTTAATGGAAGGCAAGCTGACATGCGTTTGATCCTCGATCAAACAATGAAATTCTCTTAAGCGCTTGGAATTTCCTTTCCACATCAATAAATTCACAAGTAAATAGTTCCATCCTCTCCAATACTCGAGAATTCCTCAAAAGATATCTTACCATCTCAAATTCATGCTCTTTGAACCGCATCGACTTAATTGTTATAGTTCTTAGACATGATAATAGGCATTTAGGCACATGTTTGGGCTCCCGAGCCAAATATACCTTCTCAAGATCAACCTGATCACACTAAAAGGAGCATAACAAAATGAGTAAAACAAGAGGAGCTATTGTTGTAAGAAAACAGAGAAATGACTAAAGACAAATTTATTTGCATCAACGATAAACTCCACTTACAATAAGGACTTCAAGATTGTCAGCAATGTGAAGGAACTTTACAAGCAAACTCCATTTGAAGTTCAACTGGAGTTCAACTTCAAGTTTGGTTAAATTATCAAACTTTACAGCTGGACAAGCAAGTCCTCTATAAATAAACTGAAAAAATTAACACCACATTACGAATATATACAACAACAAAGCTGAAAACTCATTGACAGGAGGCCTAAGAGATTGAAGATCAAAACATACCTCCCCGAGTCTCCAACCTGATATCTTTAGGCACTTCACATAACACAGAGAATGAAGAAACTTCACCTCCATGGAATTACAATCCGTTTTGACAGGATAGAAATAATTTTTGAAGTGGATATCTGCCTCAACTAAGGAGTTCATGGTTATAGGAATTGTTATCCACTCCAAAGCAAAATCATAGCCATACACTTGGAGATACCTAAGTGCCGGGGCATTTATTATGATCCTATATTCAAGGTTAAATGGACGAAACGAATAGTCAATATCGAGCTTAAGCTTCTTTATTGTGGGTGATGATATATTTATGCAGCCAGCATAATCATATTGAAAGTAGATTGCCATATTCAACTCCTCGAGCAATGGACAGCCGGAAAGAAAGCGAGGAAGCGCATCATCATTCTCACACACTACATTATTAACATGTAACTTCTTGAGGCTAGGCAGAGACACATTGTCCACAGCAGAAAGTGACGCTCTATAGTTATCAAGCTTCAAGTCGACAATGGTTTTGCAGTTGAAGAGAGATCGAGGGAATGTATATAAGTTAAGTTGAAGATAAAGATTCCGGATACTACGGTCGATGGCGGTTGTAATCCATGCCTCCAGTTGATATTCGTTGAATTTGACGTAAGAGAGTGTTAAAGTATCCATTCTTTCTGCCTTGTGCTGCAATATAACCCTGTGGATGATGTCCGAGGCTTCCGAGTCTTGTGTTTCTTCTTCCCAGAAACTGTTCGAGGCATGTGTTCCTTCTTCTTTGAAATCGTCTCCACTAAAGTCCAAACAGGGTACATGGGCCCATAGAAATCTCCATCTTTTTCCAAGAATGCTTGTCGCCACTGAGCGCTTAGTCGGGAGGAAAGAGAGAATATGGCATATGACTTCGTCCGGCAAGCTGCTCAGCCTATCGATCGAGCCCATGTTTTGCTCTCCATCTGAAAGCTTTGGGCACTTTCCACTTGGTTGTTTGGCTTCCCCCATGTAAATTCAGCGAAAGGGCACGTGATTTTCACAACTACAAACCAAGGAAGTAGCATTCAGATTATTGTTTGATGAGCAGTTTAATTCTAAGTATAATGTGAAGAAGATGATGAAACAGATTATTCCCATAAAATTTTCGTATCTCCATAGATTTTCTCTTGGGCATTTCCCCAAACAGTTGTCTAGCAAATCATTTCAACAAAATTGTATTGTTTAAAAGGCTTGTTTTCACGTGTGTGTACAGAGATATAAGAACAAAAACGAAAACGAATAATCAAAAAGCGGCGGGGNAAAAAAAAAAAAAAAAAGCGGCGGAGTTAAACATAGCGGCCTACCTGTGAAGTGTGAACTCTTGCCGTCCTCATTTCGTATGGAGTGCGTATTTTGATTTGGGGTCTCTTTGTTGAATACGCCAGTGTCCACTGCCGAATCAATTTAAGGGTGTATTATGTTTATTTGAGACTTTAAATGATATCTTACAACTTTTTAAGGGATGAAAATTTTAATTTTTTTTTTTCGTTAAGATCTATATCTATATATGTACTTGTATTTATATAATGGACCAATCCATGTTGTCATAATTGGTATTTTTGGGCGAGAAATTTTTTTAGTCTATATTTGACATTTAATTAATATTTATTTATTAATAATACAAAAAATAATTTGATTAAATATATTATCATCTATGGTTGTATATATTAATTTAATTAATTATAAATTTTTATTTTATTAAAGCCCGAGTTTGAATTGTTAAGTTCATATTTGACATGTTAAAATTGGTAAATGAACTGAATTCGAACTTGCAGAAAAATTCGGAAGGAGAAAGACAAATGCATTACGGAATTGTAGGGATTAACATTAGAATTCAAATTTAATGATAAAAATCAAGAATGGTTTATACTGCTAACCGTGATTTAAGGATGCATTTAATTTTGTTCAATTTATTAAAAAATAAAATAAAATAAGTTATTAATTTCGGACTGCAATTAATATTCCTGGATTTTCTTGGTTGTTATTTCTAGTAAATAGTTAATTTCTTTATATATAGAAAGAGAGAAATGATTATATGAGAAAGAGGGATAGTGAAAGAAATAAAAATAATTATTAACCATTTGATTCATCAAACCAATGGTCATGAACAAGTCAAAATTAATTAATGTCAGTCAAACATGTTATGTCCATCTCGTAATTAAGTGGTCATAGTGTACTCAAATATATACATTTGACCACTTATTAATTGCATGATTGGTATGAAGGAATGACATGGGAATGAAATGATCATTCCCTTAGTCATTCCTTATCCCATGATTGGTATATTTTTTAGGAAGGAATGACAATTTCAATGGAAATGGCAAAACCCATCTCCATGGGATTACCCATTCCATAGTAAATGGAAGGTTTTATCATTCCCATGTGTGTAAGGAATCAATTTTTCAAAAAATAAAATTAACAAATAATAAAAAAAATATACAATATATATTATAAATCATGATTAAAATATATAAATAAAATCATTTTTTATAAAAAATTAAAATAAAAAAATTAAAAACTTACTTTTATTTATTTTTAATTAGATATATTAAATACTTATATAAAATTAAAACTAAAAAAAGTATTGATATATAATTTAAAAATATATTATATTTATTTTTATATATTATTAAAAATATAATATTTTTTACATATTAAAAATATATTACTTTTAAAAATATATTATTAAAATTATATTACTTTATTTTTAAATATTATTAAAAATTTTAAATAATATTAAAAATATATTATTTTAAAAAATAAAATTCAAATAAAAAATTGAAAACTTATTTTTATTTACTGTTTAATTAAAAAATAAAATATATATTATTAAAAATATATTACTTTTTATTTTTAAATATTATTAAAAATAAGATATTTTTTATATATTAAAAATATATTACTTTAAAGGATATATTATTTTTTATATATAATTAAAAAATATATTATTTATTTTTATATATTATTGAAAATGCATTTATATATAATTTATTAAAAGTATATTATTTTTTAAAAAAAGCTTTTATTTATTTTTATTAATAAAAAATGATAATGTCATTTCATTCGAGTCCTATTCCTTCTGCATATCAAACGCATGAGTGACAAAACATGTTTCATTCCATTCTCATAATCATTCTATTCTTCAATTCATTCCATTCCTACGAAATTCCATTCCATCATACCAATCATGTCATAAGGGTATTTTGATCAAATCCCAATCACATAATGGACCCCACCCAACCACTACCACTAATGCCTCTCTCTGTCTCATACAATCACACCCAAAACACACACTCACCCACGCCGCACACACACAAAACATGCACTCACCCTCGCCGCACACACAGTCATGCACACAAACATAAAGATGTTGGAGTATACTGTAAAGCAAACTTTTATGTGAGCTTTTAGATTGTATTTATTCGATTTCCCATTTGACTGAAATAAATTTTTTCACATTGTTGCTTTCTTTATGATTGTTTGTATACTAAATGTCCAATTATCTTATTTTGTAGACAATGTGGTGTGTTAGTAGTCACACAGAAGATTACATTGTCGGTCCCTTATAAGATATAAATGGTATTCACAACTGAGATAGTTATGGACTTGACTATCGGTTTAAGTTGTAGTATAAACTGGATATAGCTTATCATGGCTATAGGTTTATACTAGTGCGCTGCGTCGCATTGAATGGATCACAGTTGAGACGCGTTCTTCTGTTCTGACTATCATGAAGAACCAAGGTCTCGGTGACTCTACTAATTCTTAACCCTAACTGTGATACTTAGATATGTGGGATATTTGTTTGTTACTTTGATTTACCATGGGTGAGAACCAAGCGTTGGTTCAATATGCTCCGTATCTTGGGTGACAACATTGTCTGCATGATATCTATTTATTGGCATTAGGGAACCGTGTCCTGGACATCCAGGTTGATGACGTCCCCTTAAGGAACTCATAAGGATTATCGTATCAAACCCTGCAGGTGGATTTAATCAGTACGATAATAAGGTTGAGTGGTACTACTAAAGGAATAAAAGATATTAATTATTTAAAGCAGTCAGAAGCTTTAATAACTAATGGACGTGCGATATCTTAAACACGGGGAATTATATCGAGTCTAATAGAAGCCCTAATTCATTTCGGGATAGGACGGGAGTGCAATATTAATTCTCTAGTGGAATGAATTAATATTTACGGGACAAATTGTGTTCTGGGCTGAACATAAGAATTTGGGCCCGTAGGAAGCCCAAACCCTATACCTTCTAAGAGATCCCTAGTCTGGCCCAAGGACCTCTATAAAAGGAGGGATTGCACGCTTTTAACCCTACACACATCACAGAACGTGACATTCTTCAGCCACCATCGTGGAGAAGTGACGTGAAGGGTTCAGATAAGACAAGACGCAATCCGCTCTTTTCAACCGTTTGGTATATCGTCGTCCATCCGGCGTCCAAACGTGGTCGGGACACAGATTAGAAGATCGCTAAGATCGAATCAATGCCTCGAAGAAAGGTAAATTCTCTGTTCGTCCTTTAGGAGCATGCCTAGGGTTTATTCGAAATCATGTATGTACATGTTTGGTATCCGATATCGATCCGTGGGACGGACCGCCTCGTCAGCGTGTTCCAGCAAAAGACACACACAGTTCACACACACTACACATCGGTGACATCTCAGAGGAAGATGACATCATCGGCGACCGACCGTCTTCTTCGTAGGCCTCGGTTGGTTGCGGCGATGTTGAGGCGGCAGATCTTCATCGAAGCTCTCGTCATGTAAGTGGCGGAAGTATCCGGCGAGATGGTAGTGGTTTGAGTGGTGGTGTGTTGTGTGTCTGTGCAGGGAACAGCAGTGGCGATGGGCGAGGTGCGTCGGCGACGGCGGCTACGGGAGAAATGCAGCCGATCTGGTGCCATTCTGCTATATCCTCCTCCGTGTTATGGCGTGGTCGTCGCAACTTGGGTCGCGGTGGACACGATGACGGCAGCCGGCGATGGCGTCGAATCTCTGTCAACGGTGGTCGGCGATGAGGTAGATGACGATCTACCTCATCGCCGGCCACCGTTGCCAAAGATTCGACGCAATCGCCGGCTGTCGTCATCGTGTCCACCGGATCTGGGAGATGGTGTATTAGATTTACAGATTTTTTTGGAGGGCTTATGTTTGGAAATTTGATAAGACTCAAGGACTTATTTGCAATTTCAAGATTTTTTATATATTACTCTCTCCTATTCATAATAAGTGTCGTTTTAAGAAGTTACACAGTAATTAAGGATATTTTTTTGTCAATAATAACCCTCTTTAATGAAGATAGAGAATTATGTTTTGGGAAAAAATGAAGAGTGAATATGAAAAGACGTAAGATATTTATTAGCTAAATGAGGGTAATAATGGAAAAATATGTACAAAAGATCCAAAACGACATTTATTTGGATAATAGTTAATAAAGCAAAAATGACATTTAAAAAGAATAGGAGGTAGTACAATTTAATCTATGGGTCAACTTTGTAATTAATGAAACTATAATTAATATTCAATATCTTTATTTAATATTTGATTGAAAATTAATATTCAATATCTTTATTTAATATTTCATTGAAAATTAATAATATGTTAAATAAAAGTATAAAAAAATGTCAATAATATTTTTTATATAGTTTGACCAACCGGTTATTTCGGTTATGCAGGAAAGAAAAACGACATTGAAACGGAATAACCGAGTTTTTAAAAGTAAATGAAAATAATCGAGTCAAAATTCAAAATTTCAAACTGAATTTAATAAGTCGAACGAATTTTTGTCCCAATACATACTAAAATCAAACCGATATAATCGGTTTAATCTACCCATTAACTAAAATGACCAAAAATACCATAATTAATATATTATTAAATGTAAAATCATGTTTAGTATTTAATATTTTATATTATTTTTATATTAAAAATTCATATATATTTAAACGAGGTAT